AGGGGTTAGGGGGCTTTGGGGCGTGGCTGGTCCAGGGGGGGGAGGCGGGAGGGCGTTAAAAATAGCCTGGTATTGGGCAGGTGGGGTATGAAAAGCTCAGCTCTGGGGCTAGAGCCAGAAGCTGTTTTTTTCAGCCCTGGGGCTGCACAGGTAACTGTACAAAAAATCCATGGCCCAGTCTAACCTAGATCGAGTAAGTCTGATTCTGCATTGATCCAGGCCTTAGACAGGGTTCTGCAAGGAGGCGGGAGGGCGTTAAAAATAGCCTGGTATTGGGCAGGTGGGGTATGAAAAGCTCAGCTCTGGGGCTAGAGCCAGAAGCTGTTTTTTTCAGCCCTGGGGCTGCACAGGTAACTGTACAAAAAATCCATGGCCCAGTCTAACCTAGATCGAGTAAGTCTGATTCTGCATTGATCCAGGCCTTAGACAGGGTTCTGCAATTTTTAGGCTGGTCTGTGTGTGTGGAACTTCTGTACAGTTACGGCTTTAGATTGATTTCCAGTCACTGAGACCGAGTCGAACTGTAAGGTCCACACCAGGAGCGAACTAAGTTAGATCAGGTGGACATTTTGAACATGATCTAACCTCCCCTCCAGTGTTTGCACTTAAGCCCCCCATGACTTAGTCGTAAATAGGCACCTGGCCATTCAGGCTGGAGAGTCAAAGGTAGATGGGAGTGATGCTGGCCCTCTGTTGTTTGCTACTTGTAACAGAAGCTGATGTGCCTCAACCACATTAGCACAATGGACCATTAGGCTCAGGAGGACCTTTAACTTCACTTTTATGCCTGTGAGCTGTTGATTTTAATTGGCCTAGTGCTGGTTGTGGTTTGCCATGCCCTGTATCTACTTTTATTCTTTTCTGTTATTTCCTGGATTTTATTTGGATGTTGCTCGTAAATGAAATTTTAAGGTGTTCTATAAAAATTATATGATACCACTAAGTTATTTTTTGGTGCTAATCAATCTTGTTAAATGCACCCACTACCATTAAGAGTGAATGCATTCAAGGAGAGCGATATCTGACCCTCTCTTTTGGTTCAGTAGTACTTTTATTATAGTAGCAATTAGAGTTCACCAAGTGACTAACCAACCCTTTCACTATTTTAAGTGATAATATAGAGTAATATATCAAATATATAGGTATGTGGGATCTAGTAAGATTTCAAAAAGGGATTTTAAAGAGTATTAAAATATATGGGGCATCTCAGTCCTGATTTCCATGGCTCAAGTTATAAGATATGGTTTATAAGGAACAAATCAATATAGAGATATAAGGACCTAAAATATGCATTCTTTAACAGCACAGTGGCATTGGCTGGCTGAAAAAATCCATATAGATTACTGTCTGTGTCAGAGCTGGACTGGGCAGCCAACTGGTTAATGATATAATGTCCTCCAGTGATGGAGAGGAGGCTTCTTGGTGAAGAAAACTGAGGACATGGGCAAAAACCAGTTTTATTGAAATGTGCCCCCAGCTCTTAAAAGTCTGCGCTGGGATCTTATCTAAAAAATACCACACAGCATAGAGCTCATTTAACTGATGAAAAGCTATAGGTAGGAATCTACCTAAATCACGCTGGAAGTGCACTGCACAGTGACTTTTTAAATTCTGCCATTTTTTTGGTTCCACACACTCTGCCCCACTGCTGATTGGTTGAGGACCCTGGCAGTCCCACCACTTGCTCCTGATTGGCTGGGAGGCAAAGATTGCTGTTACTGGATCAAGGCTAGGGCTGTCAGGGTTTTGGAAAAACTCTAGGCAGATTTGGAAAAGGCCTTGTGAAAAAGGCATATCAGATTTATTAAATTGGACTTAACTCATTTTTAACTCATTACTTTCTTCCCCAGAATCATCACTGTATTTGCAAATAGTCTTATTGTAATTAACCACTTAAGTAAATGCAGCTAAGGTGGTATGGAAACGCTCCACTTTTTGTGTAGGACACATGTATTTACATAACTGGAAAAAAGCCTTGCAATACTATTTTTTACAATGCAAAGTTCAGTTCTTTATTTTTTAGTCTCTCATAACTTTTTCATTCTAGTACCATATTGAAGCCAGTGAGATATCAAGAACTTGATAGTGTTGCTTCAATATTGCATGTAAACCTAGTGCTTAAAGATACTTATATACTATGGCTGTTGTGCACACATGCACACATCTGTATAGATTTTGATTTAGATAACAAGCAGACCCTGTGAAAGTCTTCACTGCTTTTCATTTTTTGTAGTCATTCATGCCAGAGCTTAGAGACAATCATGAGTGAAAGCAACTATGATAGATCACGCTATAACTCAATATTGCAACTGTACATTAGATATTTACTCTCACATATTTGCTAGGATGGGAGCCTTATTACATTAAAATGAATAGTTATAATCCTTTCACTTAAGCATAGCAGGGTAAGGTAGGCCCGTAATTTCAATACTTCGCTTAGTTATTTGGGAGATATTTTCGATGTTTGCTTGAATTTAGTTAGATCTCATTTAGCCCTTAAAATATGATATAACTGTGAGAGAGTGTAAAACTTGCATATTAATACTAATTGTGAAGAAAACATTAGCATTTGAAGAAAAGACTATTTATATGCAGCAAGTAAAGCACAGCATGCTAGATGAAAAGGGTAGGGACTGTGTGGGTAACCCTGTACAATTGTTAGTTTAGTAATTAAAGCACCAGTCTACTGTAGGACTTACTTCTATTTTAAGAGTACAGATGGTTAACTTGTAACATTGCCTAGAGGCAGTAATAAAATCTTAAACCGTTTTTATGAGCAATTATAGGTGTCCCAAGCACCGACGTAAAGAGCAATTTCTGTTGAAATGTAGCCTTCTGAAACGAAATGAAAAAAAGTAGATTTTTAGATTTGCACAATTAGTATCTGATATGTTTTAATGCATATTTAAAAATGCATCTCAAGTTGAAAGTTTTAGGATACAAAACCTGTTTCAAGCAGAGTGGGTCTTGGTGATAATTGTGTTTCATCTTTTCTTAACAGTTTGCGAATTTTTATCTTCCAACCAATAGAGGATGTAGAATTTAAATAATTTTTGTCTTGTTTGGATCATGTCCAATTAGCTCATCTTGGCAAAGGCTGTTTCTTATGATATATTTGCTCAGAGCCTAAAATAATGTAGCACGTATGGAGTCTCTCTACATGTTACATATTACTGCCATATAGACAAGCAAATAATGAAAACCATAAATCGCTTAAACTCATTAATAATTTAAAAGTATGACATCTGCTTAACTGAGACCAGACACGAAAGTGTTTACCGAGGTTAAGTACCTTTGTCTCTGAAGAACTAAGTGATGGAGCAGGTTATCTCAAACATTGTGAAATTTACACTGATAATCTGTTTTTAAAAATACTCTAAAATGGGTTTGAGATGTTGATGGTCAGTGTGGGTAGATTTGCAATCCTGTTTATCCTTACACCTGTTTTCAGATTATACTTTGTTCTCTGTGCACCTTTCCTGAGAGTGGTATGACTCCAGCACTGAATGGTGTAGAGTTAAACATTTTTCAAAGCCGGTTTGATTTGCCTGCTAGGAAATTCTGTACATGCTGAAACCTTGATGGTTTCGCCTGCTTGATGAATAAGCAAGAAGAAGAAAGCAGATGGATAAAATCTGCCACACCTTTTGTGCACCTGCTGTACCCTCAGTTGATTAGTATGATGCAAAGGAATTTTTCTAGTGCAATTTTCCAGTTTCAGTAGTAATTCTCTTCATATTACCTCCTGGTTTTGATTTCTGTTCTGAAAGTTGCTTTCACTAAGAAAATGCAACTAATGTACCAGGATAGCAATCTACTGCAGCTGCTTTCATTCTCTTCTTTATATCCCTTTATGTTCAGAAATTACACACTTTGTTCTGGCTTCCCTGTCCTGGGGTGTGAGAAATCATGATCAGTGTCAAGAGAGTCTGGCAGTCTCTTTTTTCTCTATATACATGTTTGCCTGCTCTGAGTTTCATGATTTTGAGCCTAGTTATATGCTGAACTCAGTTATACTTTTATTTGTTCTATAAAGATAAATATGAGTCACTTTGTGACTATCCCAACTCCCGGTTGATGGTCTGTATAGATCCCATTTTTCCAGCAGAATGGAGATGAGGGCACTTGGGGGTGGGGGGGGGTGATTTTCAATTTGAAAAATAAATTATGATGCGTGTCTATGTAGTACGTCCATCTTAAACTATCTTTCTTAATGCTGTGATTATTCAGACCCTTATTTCTCTGTATTTTGTTGCTTAGGTATATCTGAAAAGTTCAGGACTCTACAGAAGTTCTGCTACCTCCTTTTTCATTGGTTGTATTCAAATTAGTGAACCCAACACACAATTCCATATGAGACATTTATTTGGATGTGGTCATTGCAATACTTAAAAAACGAAATGTTTGCATAAATTTGGAACAAGGAAGTCTTCATTCAGGCTCTTTTTTGTTGTTGTTTCTTTACAGGGACTTTCACCAGTCAACAAGAACAGTGGACTGCTTAATATCACCTTTAAATATGACAGTAAGTTGATCACCTACATGCACCACAAATAACAAATGACATTAAAGAGCCCTCACTCTCATTCCTACACAAAAAATAATTAAAAGTTTTAAAAAGTATTAGTAATAACAACATAGTGTAATCTGAAATATTTTTAATCTAGTTTAGTTTCTACCATATATGCTTTTTGTTTGCTTCAGTGGTTCTGAAAACAGGTTTCAGTGTCTGAATGTTGTTTTGGTTAGTTCTTGCATGTGCCGTAATTTGCATTGTATTTCTTTGTTTGGGATATGTTAAGTATCTAGGGCTGTGTCTACACTGGGAATTTATCCCTATTTTGGTGGGCATGGGCAAGTCACCAAATGATAGCACCACTGTAAACTCAATCTTCAGATAAGAAAAAAGCTCTCATTTATGGCAATGAAGCATAAACTCCATCTATGCAAATTGCAGCTATCCTTGTTGCATCAGGGACTGGTCATTGTTTGTTGGAATTGGGGCAAAGGTCTAATATATTAAAGCCTAGAGAACATACTGAAAACACGGAAAGTAATATTTTTCTTTATTCCCATATATCTTAGCTTATTCTTAATGACAAATTTATGAGTCCTTTGTTTTATGTTGGCATTTTTAAATGCTTAATTCTTTATCCTGAATTTCTATTATCTATCTAACTTTACATTCTTTCTTAAAGAAAGCCAGCTGGATTTATACCTATCAGATTCTAAATGGAATAAACAATCACTAGAAGAAGTATATGGTGTGTTAGTAGTACACAACCAATGATCCTCTGGATCATGGTTTACACGTAAGAGGTCTAGTCAGATGCCTGATGATCTATTTGTGGTTGACAAGCCCAATTCGAGAGCAACATGGTTTGCTACAAGTTTCACAGATCCATATGTTGTCTGAATTGGAGTCCAAGTTTACAGCCTGCTGCTTTCTTCTTTCTTGGTTTGTTTCCATCTTCTGGATCAAAGCCGCTTCATGTTGAGCTGCACCCAGTGCCAAATGTTCCCTTCGGATTGGACAGGATTCTGCGTGCTCCTCTCAGCTTTCTATGCTGATATTGAATGACTTCATATCATTTTTGCACACATCGTGGTACTGCCATAGAGGGCGACCCTGCTTTCTAGAACTGTCTTGAATCGCACTATACAAAGTATTCTTGGGGATATGGTCTTCTCCCATTCTCCTAACATGGCCAAATCCGTCACAACCTTTTCTTCTTGGTAGTGGTTTCTAAGTGTGTCAGTCCTGCATGCTTCAGTACCTCTGTTTGGTATTCTGTCTTCCAACTTTGTTTTCAGCATCTTATGCACACATCTCATGTGGAAGCTGTTCAGTCTCTTGATATGTCTGGTATACGTAGCCCATGGTTCTGAACCATAAAGCAGGGATGACAGCACATAAGTCTTGTAGATACATATCTTTCTTTACCTTAGCTGATAGTTACAGTTATTCTATGCACAATTCTGTAATAGTCTGAAATTCGTAGCTGCTTTTCCAATTCTGTTGATCATTTTAGTCTGAAGGTCAAAATTTCTGCTAGTTGTAAAACCCAAATAGCAAAAACTGTCAACAATACTGAGAGTGATCCTTCAGAGTGATGTCGGGTACTGTCAGTGATGTCAGAGGAGGGGTTCTTTCATCCCTTGGTGCATTATCACAGTTTTCTTGAGACTAATTGCCATCCTGAAGCTCTTGCATGATTCAGAAAATTTGCCCAAGAGATTTTGCAGGGAAGATTTACTGTGGGCAACCAAAGCTGCATTATTCGAACCAGCTCTTTCACTTTGGTTTTTGCTCTAAACCTTGTGATGCTGAATAAGCATCCATTTAGTCTGGTTCAAAGATAGTGATGTGTTAACTGAAGAAAGAAAAGCAGGAAATTTGCTGGGAGCATCTGACCCAAGTGGTCTTTCCTGCCCAAGTGCAGTGGGGCTGGACCCGATGATCTGTAAGGTCCCTTCCAGCCCCGAACAACTATGATAGTATGAAATAATCTTAGTCAGAGTAGAGACCCTCACCTGTAATTCACTAACTGTCATGTTTTTTCCATTAATTCTAGCACCAGGAACTGGTATTAACCAATGACAAGTGTTAATTTAGAATACTGGTGACATTGCAAATGATGTACACAAAGGAGACATTTAAGTTCTGCAGTACTGGGGAGAGATCCTCTGTATTAAGACTGAAAGTCTTCTGTAATGTAAAATACATGTTGATAATGAAGAAGCCAGCACACAATAAAAATCAGTGTTCTGGCTCAAATTTAAAAGGTTTTATTTGGTTGCATTCACCGTATGCATTATGAAGGTGTTAATAATGTTCAGAATGAGAGAGCATTAAATGCATGAAAAAAATGTTGCCAAATTTTGCCTGATTGAATTATTAGGTTCCCCACAGTAAAACATCAGTTACTATGTTTTATTTAAATTATTTCTCTCTCTCATTTTAGACTGTACTCCTTATTTGAATTCAGTGGGAAAACATGTGATTGGTGATGTGCAGAATATAACAATCAGCCAGTATGCCTGTTATGAACAAGTTGCAGTTCTAGTTCTGTGGACAGCAAATGCCCTGGGTAAGTAGTAGAGAAGAATTTTTAACTCCTTTCTTTGATAGCAATCTCAGGAGGATCAATATTAATTTAAAGTACCTTGAAAAACAGCTTTTGTTAATAGTCCATCAGGTATCACCTTAAAAATCACCTTCTTATGACTACCTGAGTCCTTTGCAAAACTATCTCTTTCTCTTCCTTGTTTTGCAGGTTGCTTTGCAAAGTGTCTGTGTCTGTTTTTGTGTCCTGCACCAATGTGTTGTATTTTAGGCTGTCTACACGCATTCAAATGATCTGGGAAAATTTTCACAGGTTGTTCTCCTGGTAGAAAAACTTACCCAGAGAACCCTGTACAGACGCTGAGTAGCAGAGAGCCTGTGGTGCTGACTACCAAGGAGCCCTAGAGCACCAAGTCCTATAGTCGGGGGGAGTGGGGGGTTGCTGAGTCAGTGACAGGGAGGTGATGGGAGGTCTGTTCGTTCCTCGTGGCCAGAGTTGTCTGGCCATGAATTTCTTGTGGCATGTTTCAGGCCTATTGTGGATGGGCAGGGAGCTATACTTGTCAGCACCAAGTGCTGCAATCCAGGCACTGGGGTCTGCTGGGTCCAGGTGTTGGGGTCTGGGTCAGCCAGTGCCACTTGCCTGAATGGAGCCTGGATCATTTGAATCCACAGTGGGTTTGGGTTTGGCTGTGGCTGAAAAAACTGGGAGAAGAACTTGGTCCCTATGTGCTTTGGGTCTGGGCTTTTCCAGCCTGTAGCATTTAGGGAGTGTAAGGGAGTGTGTTCTGCTCCCATCTTGGTTGGGACTGATGGCCACGTCTACATGAGTGGCTGACTGTGCAGTTGTTCCTGCACAGATATTTAGTACTCAGTTAACCAAGTAGTAGATGACTACTCAGTCTTGTCACTGCACAGTTACTTTTAGTTCCTACTGCACAGCAGCAATGAGCTACTGTGCAGTGGTCCGTTACTACTGCACAGTAGCGTTGCGTCCAGGTTCATGTCTGGAGCCGCTACAGTGCTGTAGCTTCTCGTGTAGACATGGCTACTGTCTTTCTGGATCCATGGGACGGGAGGAAGGGCAAGTCAAAGCTTACTGGGTTTCTAGAGGACTGTTCTGCAGCAGGTACCTGTACAGATGTTCAGTCTTCTGAGAGAGAATCTCCCAGAAGCCATTCCACTCAGGTTGTTCCCAAGTTATTTTCCTTGTAGAGCAGCTGTTTGTGCTGTGGGAGGAAAATCATGAACATCTATACATTTGTGGTTTCTCCTAGAAGAAGAGCAACTCTCCCTGGAGAAACCGAACATCTGTACACAGCTTCAGTTGTGTTGAATGGGTAATTGCTGAAGTACTTGAGGATCCCATGGGACAAAAGCTTCTATACAAATGGAAAAGGTTATTCTTTAATCACAGACATGTGTAACCTCAAAGCCAGGGATCATTAGTATCGTACCTGATTGCTCACAGTGGCCTCCAGTCAAATACTTTATATCTGAGAAATGCAAAGATTAATGTTCCTGGTGTTCACTAAAGGACACTCCCTCTGCGCTGAGCAAAATTGTATGCCCCCACTTACCCTTGCAGATCATTTTGTCTCATGTTAATTAAGGTTCTGAACAAAATAAACTGTATACACATGCTTGTTTTCTTTAGAAATATGTATCTGCCTAATAAAGCCCGTAATGTAATTTCTTTTAAAATATTTTAATGCTTTTAAAAAAAAAAAAAGAAGAAGAAGGTTGCAATACCCAATGAAAAAAATTCAAAATTAAGAATGAAAGGGCATTTTTACACATGCTGTGGGACATGATGCTGGATGCTTTAATTAGCGAGCTGCTCTAATTAAAAGCATCTCTGTGTCACATGCATCAGCATTCCTGTGCTGAAAAAATGGCTGTTGGGCACTTTGAACTAAAATTCATTGAATGTGTTTTATTTCAAAATGCCCCACTGCCATTTTTCAGTGTGGGAGCGCACTGGGATGCTGATACATGTGATGTGGAAGGCTGCTGGAGCACGTCAGTCTCCATGCTCCAGCAGACTTGATTTAGAGTCTGCTCTGACGCCCTGGATTTCCAGTGTGTCAGAGCAGGCTCCGTGTACATGTAGAGCAGTCCAAAATGCTTTCGTCACTTATTACTTCTCTACATTTCCATCAGAATTTCAACATTGTTAAACTGTCTCAAAAAGTTTTTAAAAAAAGTTACTTCTCAGAATTGGAAGTATCACAGTAATCTACAGCTGAAAATGCTCATTAACTTAATGGGACTGGATCCTCAATGCTGAAGATTGGTGTAGTAATGTAAATAATTATTTATGGACTTTATATAGAAATACCTGTTGAACCTTTTGGTATCCTTCAGTCATACAGCATAAATCCTGTTTAGTATTGTGATTAATCTGTACTATGGATTATTGCAGAGTGAATATGAATATGTCAGATTGTCATGACAGTAATTACTGTATGTCTTCAGTACCACCGTTCCAGTCTCAGTCGTTTCTTCTTTAAAGGATAGACTCTTCATTTGGATCAAATGAAAATAAATAAATAATACAAATAAAATTAAAAGCCTCAAGTCATTATGATTGGATCTTTAATATGTGCAACAGTAAAAACAGCCAGTCTTCTGAAAAGTTAAATACTTTTTTTTTTCTTTATTCTTCAAAACAAAATCCGATACTTACAAATCCTGGAATACAGGAGTCCGTGATGGTCACAGTGACCATTATAGTGCTAAATATAATGAACACAGTGACAATCTTAACTCTAGAATTAGTGACCATATTCCACTCTCACTGAAGTCAGCAACTGCAGTAGAAGTTGATTTGGGCCCTAAAATAACCCCAGTATAACACGAGTTGATATGGAATGTCCATACCAGACTGAATTCATATGTTACTTAAGTCTCCTCAAAAAGTTTTAGAAAGAAAAGAAACCTTCCCCAGAGCTTGAGTCACTTTTGCACACTGATAAATCATGCTGGCATACCTAAATTAAATAACTACATTTATGATAGAAAATAATGATTAATTAGCAGATATTAAAGAAGAATGAGGGAATGATACCGAAAGCTTTCAATAGTGCAGTGTTGCTGAATTGGTAATCTACAGCTGCAGCCTGACTGAATTAAATAGCTACAGAATACAAAGCTTGGTGTTCTCTCTTGTAATGATCAGAGGTTAATCCTTTTGAAAGCATCAAGACAGGACTGAAGTTGAAGGATCTCAGGTGACAGGGAGACCTGACACTTCTCTTTCATGGTCTTCAAGCTAGCACAAACAGTGCTTTTGTTCCACTGAATATTAAGAACATGTTGGTCAGGCCATGGACCTTTCTCTTGTACAGGTTCTAAAACTTTTTCATATTTGGAGGGAAAAAAAGAGGTTAATGGAAAAGCATGCATTAGGGGTTTTTAAACATGCTATACAGTTGCACTAATCCATTTTGGTTCATGTACAAGTGCTAAAAGCTAATTGTGTGTTACTTGAGTAGAATGGGTACAGTTCCGGTTCCATTTATAGATAATGGAAAGTATTCATTGGTATGAATAAGGAGTCATTCCTCTGTTGCCAGTGTTTCTGTTATCCCATTATATTAGACAGAACTAAAAAGGTCATCACTATTGCAACTGACCACTTTAGTCCAATGGTTTTACAAAGGATAAGAACACAGTAGGGAAGTGACATTTCCAGGATTTGTAAACAAGTGCATTATTCTTGTTTTACTGCTAATAATGACCATATGGAACAAATACTGTATAGCATTTTACTACAGATGCTGCTGCAGATGATTTTATTTGTTTGTATTGTGATAACACTCAGGGTGCCCAGCTGAGAGGAAGGCCTCTTTAAGTCTAGGCACTGTACAGATGCATAGTGAATGTCCAGAAGAGCTTAAATTAAAAGTAGTCAGAAAGGAAAATGTGGGAGAAAAGAGGGATTGACATGCAACTGACAGATGTTAAGGGATAAAATCATTTAATGTGAGCATAAAAAAGGATGGTGGGGAATGATTTATGTAAGGACAATTGTAATATGCTTAAATTACATCAAACCCTGTGAAATGTGTCTTGGAATGTTCCATTAAATGCCTTTCTGTTTGCAGGGATTGAATTTCTGAAAGGGTTTAGAGTAATACTTGAGGAGTTAAAATCAGAGGGAAGACAATGTCAACAAATGGTTTTAAAAGACCCAAAGCAGCTCAACTCCAGCTTTAAAAGAAATGTAAGTGATGCACTTAAGAAATATTTCATTTGTCTGATTCTGCAGTGTGATATTACATATATTATTAAACCTTTCTTTTGATAAGTTTTTTAGTGTAGAACAATTTGCATACTAAAAATGTATATATTCTTAATTATTAACTCCAGGACAAATCTACTCTCCTCCTTCCTACCTACAGAGGCTCTCCTGATTGTGGCACCAGTGATTTCACTTCAGTGAGGGCCTTAGTCTGGGGGGTTATACTGTAGACCTTCATCTGGAGAAATGGTGGGATCTTCATCGCTGGGGTTTTTTAAGGCCAAGCTCAAAAAGCCCTGGCTGGAATAATCTAGCTGAGGATGGTCCTGCTTTGAGCAGGGGGTTGGACTAGATGACATCTTTCCAACCCTAATTTTCTATGATACTATCCCTACAGCAGTGCAGAACGCAGCAGTCTGGGGCCTCCTGCTTGGCAGTGCATAGATAGCGGAAGTGGCCAAATGCTGCCTAATGGCTGTATATAGTCTTACACTAAACCAATTTACCTTTTTGAACCAGTTAGTCTCTAAGGTGCCAGTCCTGTTTTCTGCCCAATTCAGATTAACACAGCTCATGGGCAACTGGTGCCGCCTTAGCCCACGGCCAATCTTGCTGCCTGGGGAGACCCCTGCGGCTGATCCCGCGACAGCCGATCGCTGAAGCCACTTCTGGGAGTGGCTGTGGCTGCTTTGGGAGCGCCTGCAGCGATCGGCTGGCTCTTGCACGTGCACCCCCTATGCATCGCCACTGACACGGCTAACTATATCTCTCTAAACCACTGTTTCTCAAACTTTTATTATGTGGAATGCACTTTTTTCTGGATTAAAAATGGCAACACACTTGACTCATCAGTCTGCAGACTGGATCTGGTCCATGAGCCTGATCCCAGTGGATGGGGCTGACCTGTATGGTGTCCCCTCCAGCCCATTTTTGGAAACACACTTCTGCCACTCCTACAGCACACCCTTTAGAAATCACTGCTCTAAACCAATATACAGTAGAAGGGTAAAGGGGAACATAAGCTCTCCAGAGCATTTGTCAGCAGGTGAATCAGTTATATTGTATAGTCTGTCCTCTCTTGTACCAGTATAGTAGAGCCAAACCCCTGTAACTATATACCTGAATGAAACAAGTTTAAAGTTGCAATGCTTTAGCTTCCATTTAGAGTGGAATAGAGCAGATAGATGAAACAGTTAAAGTGGATCACTGTAATCATTTGTCTGCCCACGTCCCAAATCACGTAATTTCTGTTAGTGTCCCGGAGAACTATGGGCTTGCTTTGAGAGAATATATTTTTAAATGCCCAGGTCCAATGACTTAAAAATATCACAGTCTTTTTATATTTTTCTAGGGAATGGAATCTCAGCCTTTTCTAAATCTGAAGTTTGAAACGGATTATTTTGTAAAGATTGTTCCTTTTCCTTCCATTAAAAATGAAAGTAACTACCACCCGTTTTTCTTCAGAACTCGGCGTAAGTTATCTTCCCAATCCTCCTTTCTCTGCCTCTTCCCTGCAGAAGTAGATACCTTGTATTAGGAACTCAGAAGAGGAAGTGTTTTAAGGGGGTGTATGTCTGAGAAAAGATAGCACCTGATTTCATTTTAGGAGGGCAGCTGGATTTGTAAGTGAAATGAGTTTAGAAACCACAGATTCGTCCCTAGTGGACAACAATCCACATTACAAACTGCCAAAGAGAAATGGACAAAATAAGTAGTCTGAGCAGAGGCATGCAGCTAACCCTCATGGACAACAGATTTACTGTAAGGTTTCTTACAGTTTTTTTTTGAAGTCTGGATCTAGCCATGCTGAAGATAGGGTACTAGGCTAAATGGGTCATGGGTCTGATCCAGTGTGGCAAAAATCACATTTCTGTAAAGACTGAGTTATCTCTTCTGCTTTAGTAAGCACAGCTTGCCCAAGTTACTAGCAGGATGTTACAGATAAGTTCCCACTGGTTTTGAATTTGAGGTCACAATTTTAAAAACTGGTCTAAGGATACAATCCTGATGTATCTTCATGTATGTAACTATATAGGTGATCTGATTTTTCCAAAGTATAAGGTACTTGCCAACTCGCACTGAAGTCGACAAGAATTGCTGGGTATTTGGTAGCGTTGGCACTCTGGAAATTCAGGTCACTTAGGGCTTGCCTATATGGGGAAATTCACATATCTTTTCCAGAATAACTATTGCACCATAGGTGTATGGAGGTTATTCACCAAATGTGTGCACTTTATTCTAAAGTAAAAGTGACTATTTTGGAATAATTACTTAGCTCACATAGAGTAATTGTTCTGGATGGGATAGTTTTATTCTGCATATAGACTGAGCTATTATTTGGGAATAGCTATATTATAGTAGAAAGTAGGGGTGCACCAATAAAGATTTTTTGGGCCGATACTGATGGCTGATTAAGGAGACAAATCAGCTGATACTGATCTGATTGCTGATATGCAGCTCAGCAGCTTGGAGAGCAGCATCTGGCTGGTAAGTCTGTGGCGGGGGAGAGAAAGGGAAGGGGGCGGCAGATTGAGGCCCCTGTGATGAGTGAGGGGCTGGGGCTGGGGCTGGGGTAGGTGCTGCCCAGCTGGGGCAGGGCATGGAATAGAGCTGCAAGAGGCTTGTTTGATGGGGGGGCGGATCCTGCCATTGCACACACCCCCAGGGGAGCCATGGGGGTCATGTGCCCCTCGGATCTGTGCACAGGGTGAGGGTGGGTTGCCACTGCAGGCTGGGGCAGGGGCTAGGTTCTTCCTGGTGGGTGGGAGTTGGGCTAGGTCTGCGCTTGGGGTGGGCAGCAGTGGTACTGGTGCAGAGAGGATGTTATGGGGTGGGTTACAGCCATCCCGAAATTCACCATAGTCCCTCTCCCAGTACTGCCGCCACCTGCCCCAAGCGCAGCCCTGGCCTAGCCCCCACACTGGGAAGAGCCTGCAATGCCCCTGGCCCCAGCCTATCCTCGCCCCATGCATAGATCCAGAGGCATAGACACACCCCCATGGCTCTCCCAGGGGTGCATGTAGCAGTGGGATTCACCCTCCCCCGGATGAGTCACTCATGGCTCTGTCCTGTGCCCCACCCAGGCTGTGCAGCACCTGCCCCAGCACAAGCCCCACTCCCTCCTTCATTGCAGGGGCCTCAGTCTGCACCCCCCCCACACACCCCTTTCCTTCCCTTCCCCTGCTCCTTCCCCCTCAACAGACTTATCAGCTGGACACTGCTCTGCAAGCTGCCAGGCTGGCCACATGCATGCTGCAACTACACACATACATGCAGCATTTATTGGTGACATTATCAGCCACATCAGGCAATAAAAGCCGATCACCGATAATGTTAATTTTCCTTTTATCGGTGCAAATACGATATGGACTGATGCACTGGTACACCTCCAGCAGAAAGCCATTTGAGAACAGTTATTTTGGAATAGCTATGTTGGTCAGTTTCCTTCATGGAGGCAAGTAGCTAAATGTAAGCATAACAACCTAAATTTAGGTACACTTTGTTTGGAAAATCTTGACATTGATCTTACGTCCACAAAAAGCTTCCACTGTTCAGGATTTTTCTGTCTAAAATGCTTTAAAATTATTTTAGGATAAATAAGCTTTCTAAACTTTTTCAGCCCTTTATGGTTATGCTGACTAAAGTAACATTTTATCCTTTCAGTAGCACTCACTATGTTTATTAGTTCAAATAAATACAGTGGTTATGGCTATATTCATTCACTCTTGCTCATTATGGTTTCCCCAGTACCTGTCTTATTAAGCACTAATATTTCAAGTGATCCTTTTTTTTTTTTTGTATATAAGAGTTGAAGGTGACTTGAGTCATGGCAGATGAGCTGAGTTTACTAAATGATGGCTCTCCCATAACCAAAATTATAAAATAGCTTCCATGTTTTTGCTTCCTTTTTGCCACCTTTTACTTTTTGGAGCAAAACATTTGAAAAACATAATTTTATTATTAAGATTCTTTTTCCATGTGTTTGTAGCCTGTGAATTGTTGCTGCAGCCAGAAAACCTTGCCTGCAAGCCCTGTGAGTAAAATGTAATATTTTCCCATGCATGTATGTTACAAAACAGTTATTATTCTTGAAATAGTAATCTGCCTGCCCATAACGCTCTGTCTTCTAACAGACTGGAAGCCAAGGAATCTGAATGTTACTCAGCAAGGTTTTAACATGCAAGTATCTTTTGATCATGCACCTCACAACTTTGGGTTTAGATACTATTACCTCCACTACAAACTTAAGCATGAAGGACCTTTTAAACAAAAGACTTGTAAACAGGTAAGCCATGGGCTTGTTGAAGAAATTAAAACATATTTAACAATTTATGGTATGTTAAAGTTCTATATTATCATTTGACTTCAGATGCTCCTTATTCACACACAATTTTACCTCTTTAAATCTTGTCCATCTGAAGTGATGCTCAAAAAATGTCTGTGTGGTTTATAGTTAGGTTTATCTTCATATTTTAAAGATGAGATAGGCGGGGCAAGGAAATTGTTCTGTACTTTGTACCGTTATATATATCATGTTACAATTGTGTGAAATGGGCCCAAATCTGAATGGTGATAGTTGATACCAGTATTGCATTGCATAAAGGCCTACACACATTGTGGGCAAGCGGAGAATCAAAGCTGTTGTGTTTTAGAGGTTGCATTAAATGTGACTCATTTGTGTTAGGATGTTCAACAAACAAAGGGACAGAAATTCACTGTACAGATAGTCATTCTGTCCAGTTATATCCTTATGTCTTATCTTGGAAGCTGTAAACTGTAGTTTTCACTCTCTTGCTGTCTGCCAGGTTGTTATAATGATGAGCCTCAACTCCAGTGTCCCATGCCATGTGGCAAAGTATATTTCCAGGCCAATATTATTTATTGTGAATGCATTTTCTATTAGGCTTTAAAAGTGTGAGACTGTCTTCTGGAATATTCTCCTCTGTTTATTTACAGGAACAAAACACTGATATCACAAGCTGTGTTCTTCAGAATGTATCTCCAGGGGATTATATCATTGAGGTAATATTTCTAAAACAATGTTTCTAAATCAGCTTAAGAAATGAATTTCTATATTAATCCTATATTAACTTATTACAATAAAAATACTGAGAGCCAATTTCTACTGTAATTACATCCTGTGAATCTTCACTGAAATCCATGAGACAAATTAACATATTAGGAAAGTTGAGTTTGGCCCTTACATAGCCATGCAGTGGTGGAAAGAGCTCCTCCTCCATGCTGAGCCAAGTGGAAGTCCTTGTGAGTTGACTGCCTGGCACCCTCTTCTGTGCTCCAGATTACAATCCAGGATCCTACCATCCATCTTAATTATATTGTAAATAATAATGTCTATACAGATATTATAGGCCACCTGACAGTTAAAATAGTACAACATAATGCCTCAGCATCATTAAAGAAGCATACATAGGACAAAGATAAATAGCTCACCTTATCAAGTCCAGCTCAGTCAGCCAGCTTTAAAGAAATTTCCTTTTCACTCCCATTATTGCAGAATCATATCCTCCCCTCTCTGTTAAGCCCTATAGCAGGTGGCTTTTGTAGCATTTCTGGAAAGTCATCAAATTCAGGCTATTTTGGATCAAGGGAGTAGTTTCCAGGGTCCTTAATTTTTTACAGAAAAAGACGTGTCCTATCAGCTAAGCAACTTTGCTGACCACAGCTGTGGCAGTACATCATGGGATAAGAAGCAGCCTTTCAAGTAGGTGGGGCCTAGTCCACTTGGGGCATTGTAGGCTGCCTTTAACCTGAAGCTCTAGCCCAGGGCTAATAATGAGCCCCTGTAGATCCTAGAGCACTGGTTTCATAGGCCTCAGCAACACGTCCCACTCAGTAAACAAGGTTCAGCTTTTGGCAACATCTTCACTTTCCAAATAATTTTAAAGCATTGCCTCAGTAGGATACAGTATTGTAATGAATTTGGCACCATGAGCTGGAGCAGAGTAGCAAAGTCTGTACCAAAAGTGTTGCAACCTTTCTACCAGATGCAGACTGAAAATATCTGTCTGCATTTCTGCTGTAATATGAGAATCCCACAGCAAAAAATGATAATGTTTGGGGCCTTGGACCTATTGAGCAGCTCTGGTAAGGAAAATATGCAAAAAGTTTAATGAAAACTTTCCTTCATAATGTTTTGTATTTTTGGCTGAAATGATAAAAAAAAAAAAAGACTATCTCCACTTTTTATCATTTATTATTTTATAAGCCTGGGAAGATTCCAGCTAGTGGAATCTACCATATTTACTCAAATATAATACACCTCTGATTATGAGATGACCCCTCATAATTAGATTCTATATATGGAAAATTTTTAATTTGTTATAATTTTCATAGTTTCATAGACATCAGGGCTGGAAGGGACCTCGGAAGATCATCGAGCCCAGCCCCCTGCCCAAAGGGCAGGAAGTCAGCTGGGGTCATAGGATCCCAGCAAGATAAGCATCCAGTTTCATCTTGAAGGTGTTCAATGAAGGCGCTTGAACCCCCTCCGGTGGCAGGCTGTTCCCGACCTTGGGGGCTCAGACAGTAAAGAAATTCTTCCTTATGTCCAGCCTGAAACGGTCTTGAAGTAGTTTGTGACCATTTGACTTCGTCATCCCTTGGGGCGCTCTGGTGAACAAACGTTCCCCCAGCTGCTGGTGGTCACCCCTGATAAACTTACAGGTGGCCATCAGATCACCCCTGAGCCTGCGCTTTTCCAGGCTAAAGAGCCCCATAGCTCTCAGCCTGTCATCGTAGGGTCTGCTTCCCTGACCTCTGATCATGCGCGTGGCTCTTCTCTGGACTCTCTCAAGCTTCTCCACATCCTTTTTGAATTGTGGAGCCCAAAACTGGACACAGTACTCCAGCTGTGGCCTCACTAAGGCCGAGTACAGGGGGAGAATGACGTCCCGGGATTTGCTTGAGAAGCATCTATGGATGCAAGCCAGTGTTTTGGTCGCTTTACTAGCCGCCGCATCGCATTGCAGGCTCATGTTCATCTTGTGGTCAATGATGACCCCCAAGTCTCTTTCTTCCATAGTGCTAGCCAACATAGCACTGCCGAGCCTATAAGGATGCTGCGGGTTTTTTTTCCCAAGGTGGAGAACCTTATTTTCCAGGTAAAGAAAATAATTATTGGAGGTTTCCATTAATTTTGTCCACTTCTCACTGCCACAGCAGTGAGAAAATAAATCTGGGAGATCACGTAGCCCCCTTGTCCTCTGGCCCCTCCGCCCTGCTTCTTTCCCGTGTTATCCCTGGAACATGTGCTTCTCACGTGAAAGCAAGAAGTAAATTTGAAAACAGTGACCTAGAAATATACATACCTGTAGTAACCTGCATGTAAGAAAATTAGTACATAGGTACCCATAGACTTAGTTCATGCAGAATGGAGCCAGTTTACATCTTTTGAAACTGCTACAAGTTTTACACAGGTATTCCATAAACACAATTTTAAGCAGCCCTTGTGCTTACTTAGATATAGTAGAAACTATGTGTGGCATTAGTCCAAAACTAAAAGGCTTATGATTTACTAACTAGTTCATTGGACTGGGCACCAGCAGAGTCAACGTTATTTCAAGCTATGGTGATCCCACAGATCAGCACAACTCAGTACGTGTGTGTACTCCAGACACTTCCCACAAAGGATCCATGTGCTAGCTAGCCCTCCACTCATGACTGGAACTAGATGTTCTTGTCACGAGTCCTTGGATCCTCCAAAAATTTATATGCAGATGAGGTGCAGGGCAGCCTGGTCCGGCTCCATCTCCTGGAGGATGGAGGTGTACTAATCATATACAACAGGCTGAGAGAGGGGGCAACAGAGGGATTCTGAGTAAGCTGTTCGGGGCCCCATTTGGTGATATTTGCCAAACATTTAAGGATGGTTAAAAAACAATACTCATTCAAAATGGGAAAGAAAGGTGCAGCTCAGCTGTAGGAAAGAAGAGGAAGTTGAAATGTGGTCAGTGTAGTGAAAAAAGAGTCAGCACTGAGAGGGACTGAGTGCAGTGGTGGCAACCATCAATCCTCCTGGATCATGGTGTATGCGTGAGGGCCACCCAGACCTTTGATGCATGTGCCTGGGCAGGAATTCTTGAAGGAGTGGAGGTTGCCCAGACCTTTCATCCTCCCTCTAGGCCACTGAGACAGAATCCAAAGACTAGACTGAGTCCCAGTGTTTGGTGCCTCCATGGCTGTAGTTGTGTAAATGTCTGGGAATCAAACCCAGATCTCCTGTGTGGTAGACAAGGATTCTATCACTGAACCATAGGGGACTCCACTGAGTCTAATGGGCAGTACATATATCTTATTCAGATGGGTTGCATTAGCCTATCCTTGTGTTCATCAGCATCTCAGCCTTTTGGCTAAGATCCAGCATTTCTGGCACCAAGTGTCCGGGCTAGCTCTGACTCCCCCCGGTACTGGTGTGGTATTGCCATACCTCCAGGCCCAGTGCCAGTTCCCTGCAGAATTAACATCTGCCCATCTGTTGTTTTTTTTAAGGCCAAAAAAAAGTTCCTATCAGATGTTTGCCTCATGCGAACCATGTGTTTTGTAGTCGTGCTGAGTGCTGGCTGCATTTAATCAACTTTATAGTGGTTTCCATTGCTGAGCACGTGCTGCTTTTTGCAGCAGCTTAAAGATAGATAATGTATTTAGTGAGGTTTCCTTGTATGTGAATTTTGCGCTCCAATGTTGATTTGGGGGAAAAAACCCTCCTACTATATTTGAGTAAATATGGTATTACTCCATTACATTTCTCTCCCACCCTTATTTCCTTCCTTTGAGATTAGATATTGATTAGAATGTATTGGTGCCCTTTTTAAATGGGCAAAATTAGTGCTGAAAATGGCAAATTCCATCTTTTACCAAAAGAGTTGGTGTTCTACTCATTCTTGATTATCTTGTGAGGTAACCAATTCTAGGTGTTGTCATTTTTTTTCTGTAACTTCCTTTAGTTCTGGAGGTCCAGGACAGTTGTTTCCTGTGTTGCAGAGAATTATTTTCCCCATAGTTTTCAGTATTTAAAATGAGACATTTCTTTTTTTAAGCTGGTCGATGACACTAATACAACAAGGAAAACAATGCACTATTCATTAAAACCAGGTAAGAATTTTCTTTTTAAAATGGCCATGTACTAACTTGTACTAGTAGTTTATGCTGAAGATTATTTACCATAAAAATCCCCACGATCAGGGCTACTGAGGCCCTTCTATATTCTTACATACAGCTTTTCTGTGACCTTTTTGATAAAAAATGATACTGCTTTTACATATTATTTTACTTCCATCTTGTGTAAAGAATTGCACAAGCAGACTGTGCTGTAAAATTGGGATTATTTGCTAGGAACTAATTTTTCAAAGGCATTGAAAAATCGGAGTGTGCATCTTAGCTCTGTGCAAGTGGTGCATGAGGTACAATGTAGAAATATTGTAATGCCCTTTTGTGAACAGGATTAATGGAATGCTAAAATAAGCAGCTGCTCAATAAAATTCTGCTGTAGTTACCTAGAGGTAGATTATTAAACCAAAAAAAAAAAGATCAGGTGAAGATTGTGGTCAACAATCCTTCTTCAAGTATGCTGAAACTTCCTGTCATATTGTTATTGTTATTTATTATTTATATTTTGCCCTACTCAGAGAGGCTCAGGGATAAAGATCATCTTTGTAGGGAATGGTGCTTTCTCAAGAGCCAGTCCAGGACCAGGGAGCACAGGAAAGGAAGCAGCAAGTACAGTAGCAGATTTAGCAGGGGAATAGAGTTGAAATGGCGCTCAGGGAAGATGCAGAGCTGGTTTGTGGCTCACTTGCCAAAAATGTTCACCCCCACTGTCTGATTTAGTACATTCTGGAAGACTCTCATAGCATGATGATTGAGGTGTTTTAAGAATTTATCTAGGATAGAGCATGGATTTAGCTGTTTGTTAGTCTTACAAGAATTTTTGAGGATGGGTCACTGAAATGGTTATCAATCTGTAATATAAAACTGGGATTAGAACAAGGGTGGCCAGCTTGCAGCATTGTGGCGTGCAACAGATCAGGGAGGCGACAAGCAATACAGTGGCAGATAGGACAGGAAGCAGAAAGCGGGGCATCAGGTGGGATGGGGCACATAAGGCAGGAAGCAGAAAACAGCAGAAAATTGGACAGAAGAGATTCAGAGTGGCACTCTGGTGCAGTGCTAATTGGTGTCACTCCTGCTAAAAAGGTTGGCTCACAGTGGATTAGACAACAATGACATAACTACTTGAACTATGTTAATTCTGCATTATTTTTTTCAAAGTGCATTCCCCGTGGGCTGGACCAATAAGAGCTATTGCCATTACTGTTCCCTTAGTTGTCATCTCAGCATTTGCAACGCTTTTCACAGTGATGTGCCGCAAAAAACAACAAGGTATGATGTTTATTTAGTACAGAGTTTTATATAAAGCTGAGGAGTTTCAGTTCAGAGCTAGCTCAGATGGAAAACAGATTTATTCCAAACTAGGGCTGGGTATTTGTCCAGTCATATAAAGTTTAGTAAACTGACCAGTCAAATATAGGTCAAAAATTGTATAAAATTGCCAGTACAGTCAAAGAATATACAGAAAAAGTACAAATTTTCCATTAAATGTGTCCATTAAAAATCATATTCTGTCAAGAAAACGGCAAATAAAAATATTTGATCCCTATAAAATTGCTATAATCTTTGACCAATCAAAAATATGTAGTCATTGATTGGTCAGCTGACAATATTTGACTGGCCAATGGACTGACTTGCCAAACACAGATTCCTTTTTCGTTAGTGCTTTTATTTATTTTTTTTCTTCTCTCTCTTCTCCTTCCCTAGTTTTTCCACCTGCTGGAACTTCTAGCAAAGCACTAATCCTGTGTTTGGTGCTAAGTTAGTCACCAATCTTGAATCATGACTTATCTACAAAATCAAGCTGAAGACTGGATAGGTTGGGTTAGGATTTTTGGCTTTGTTGGTTTGTTCAGAAAAATATTTGTTAGTCAAAATTAATGGAAACTATGAAACTGGAAACTAGACAGACGTAAAAGAGGAAATGTTATAAAATACTACAGAAATGCCTAACTGGTTTGTGTTTTATAGCAGGAGGAAAGTAATACCCTAAAACAGCACTGTCCAGTTTGTGGCCTGTGGGTTGCACACTGTCTATGAGGGGTTAATATGTGGTCCCCAGGCATTTAAGTGACTGCTGCTCCCCCTATTGCTTTGGCTGCTGCTTCTGTATCTGGGGTCTTCAGGCTCCCCGTCCCTCACTCAGCTTTTGCTTCCAGCTCCAGCCCCAGGGGTGGGCAGCATAGCCCCTCGTAGGGTGCAGTGGAGTGGGGGTTGTGGCCTATGGGCCTGTGCTTTATATTAAGCGACATGCATCTCCTGGCTACTTAGAAGTTTAATGCCCCTGCCCTAAAAGATGTAAATAAGCAGGAAGAATTCCCTGTATTCACTGGAACCGTCCTAACTAATTAGATTTAGTCCAAACTTGCTTATTTTCTTGGCGTTTGGCCTAAAACATCACCTTAAACCTTTTCTCTCTTCTCTAAGTCCTGCTCCTTTTGTAGTTTACCTGCAGGTGCTTCTTTGATCCCCTGGGCCAGGGAGGTAAGGAACAGTAAAGTTAGGGCATGCTTCTTCCACAGGCTGTGGAAGTGAAGTTGCCCCATTGGTGCCTATCTATAGAGGAACCTTTCCAGAGCGTTCTCTGAATGGCACGTCAATTCATTTCCTTTCCAAGTAGAATATCTTGCAGCTCCGAAGTTGGTAAAAAAAAAAAAAAAACACACACAAAACCAACAGCAGCAGTAGCAGAAGGGGTACAATATGCATTATCCAGGGTGGGATGGGAAACAAGAATGTCTTCTGAATGAAGGGCCATTACATTTGAGTAACAAGTCTGTGACAATTGAAGAAAAATGTCAGTCTGTTACAGTGTGAAATCTTTATTTTTCTTTCTATTTAGAAAATATATATTCCCATTTAGATGAAGAGAGTTCAGAATCTTCAACCTATGCTGCGGCGCTCCATGTGGAAAGGCTCCGGCCCCGGCCAAAAGTATTCATCTGCTATTCGAGTAAAGATTGCCAGAAACACATTAACGTCATCCAGTGCTTTGCTTATTTCCTTCAGGATTTTTGTGGCTGGGAGGTAGCTGGACTTTTCTCCTCTTAATGTGTAGAATTGCCTGTGAGGTAGCTCCACTTTTCTCCTCTTAATGTGTAGAATTGCCTTATTCAAAACAGGACACCTAAAGCTCCTCATAGCCTGTCCTTAAAACAATTTATGTAGTCAGAGAGATTCAAGTCTCTTCCTGATACACAGACTAATACCCATTTTTGCTTCTACCAATCGCCTGCATGAATTTTCTCTGTGCAGAGAAAAGAACAGACCACAGAATACATCAAATGTAGCACTGGCGATAATGTGCACTGGGTCAGTCCTGATGCACTCACTCAGCCATCCTTAGCCCTTCATTCATTAACTGTCCTGTTTAGTTATCAGGGCTTGTATCTATCTGTTTTAGAATGTAGTCACAAAGAGATATTTAGAATAGCTCAAGGCTTGTATTGTTTTTTTCCCCCCTCTGATTCACAGTACTATCCAAAAAATATCAAAATCACAATTTGAAAGACTAGGCTCAAATTCCTGAGCTCTTTCCTAAACCAGAACCAAAGTGTAACAGTTAACTTATAAAATGGCAACGTGATTATTAGTTTACAGAAAGCATTTACATTTTTTTGTTTAAACTTTGGCATCATCACTGAGATTCTAAGTTTACATCATATGATATGTGAATTTAAATAATAGTGTTCAATCATTTAGCAAGCCTGACCCCTAGTGGAAAAAAACATTCTTTAAAATAATTGTTTTATTGATTTAGACACCTTTGGAAATATACCTCATTTACTCATGAACTTCTGGCGGTCAGTATGAGATGTTTTCACTTGTGATCTAGCAGCATGTATGTAGAATGGCATTAAAGGCAAATTAGTTACTACTTTTGTTTTTGAACATGTGTACTGTGGCATGTTTGGGATCGTTTAATACAGGGGTTTTCAACCTTATTTAATAAGTGTACCCCTGGTGGCCAGACACGGAGCGTGGGGGTGGGGGGCAGTTGAACGTGGCCAGCATGGGGTGGTGGATGGCAGCGGCCACTATCGCCGCATGCAAGCTTCCCCCCTCACCCCCACATCTGACCAGCCAGGTGGCACCTGTGTGGCCTGCAGAGGGGTGCCGCTGCCCTCACCCTGCCCCAGCCCTGCTCCTGGGAGGTGGTGGCACAGGGTGGTGGGTGGCGGTGCTCTGTCTCCGCCTGCCCGTGCATACCACCTAGGGCCTTCCCAAGTACCTCTGGGGGTACACATGCCCCTGGTTGCAAACCCCTGATTTAATATTTAATAAACAATAAACACATAAAGATTTATTAAGTATCTCTGATACATGTACCCTTCACGAGCTATTAATTCTTCCAGTAAACACCGACTGACATGCTTCTTTCTTTCCCAGGTGGCCCTGGATTTATGGGAAGATTTAAAGATTTGTAAAGAAGGGCAGAAAGAATGGCTTATTCAAAAAATCAATGAGTCTCAGTTTATCATCATCGTGTGTTCCAAAGGGATGAAATACTTTGTGGAAAAAAAGAACTGGAAGCACAAGGGAACAAGCAGAGACATTGGGAAAGGAGAACTCTTTCTATTTGCAGTGTCTACCATTGCAGAGAAGCTGCGTCAAGCAAAGCAGAATTCAGATGACCTCTGCAAGTTCATTGCAGTCTACTTTGATTACTCCTGCGAAGGTGATATTCCTGGCATTCTGGATCTAAGTACAAAGTACAAGCTCATGGATAACCTGCCTCAGCTTTACTCTCACCTACACTCCAAAGATCTCAGCTTTCAAGATTCAGAGGTGTATCCAGTAAATATTAGCAAAAGAAACTATTTCAGGAGCAAATCTGGCCGTTCCCTTTATGTTGCCATTTGCAACATGCACCAGTTAATTGATCAGGAGCCAGATTGGTTTGAAAAACAGTTCATTCCATTTCCTCCACCTCCTTTACATTATCAAGAGCCTGTCATGGAAAAATTTGACTCAGGCTTGGTTTTAAATGACTTGGTGAATAAGCATGTGACTGAAGGGGATTTTTATCTGAAAACAGATGCAAATTCTATCCCTGCTATAAATTCAGACTCTCCATGTATAATTCAGCACTTAAACCTTGGAGAAGATACAGAGACTCGGGATATTCAAGATGGTGGCTCTGTTCTTCAGCCGCTGTTGCACGTTGTAAAAGCTGCCAATCTCCCAGACATGCCAAGGGATTCTGGAATCTATGATTCTTCTGTTCCGTCATCTGAGTTATCTCTACCTTTAATGGAAGGACTTTTGACAGACCAAACTGAAACCTCTTCCATTACAGAGAGTGTCTCATCATCTTCAGGATTAGGTAAAATGAAGTAGTTTAAAAAAAAAATCACATTAACACACAATATTCATGTTGCTGACATACTTTTAGTTGCGTTAAGTTAGGGGCCATAACAGAAGCTGGAAAAAAAAGGTAGGTAAAATAGAGATGGTCAGAAATACAGGGTCTTCATAAAGTCCTTGTGCACTTTTAAACTTTAATAACTTGGGTTGTACAAAAGGACTTTATGAAGACCCTGTATAGGAGTTTTTTATTTTGTTAAAAAAATTATCCAGTTGTGAAGAAATACATCAAAATTCTGAAATTAGAATTTTGGAAAAATAATGAGCGTTGTTTATGTGGTCTGAAAACCTGTTGTTAGGCTTTTTAATGTTCCAATTTTTAACCAGCTCTATTGGAACAAAGAACCGTTACTGTATTGCAGTTAACTTAAGGTATTAGGCTTCTGATAACACAAATTTTCCAATACGGTTGCTCTTGTCTTCCTGACCATGATGTATTGATGACCTGTGAGGTCAAGAACACGAGAGCAGTTGTATTTATTGCTATCAAAATTCTACCTGCTGAATTTCACCTTTTCTCAAATCGAACATTGATAGCATAACTAGGGGTGGGTGACAGGGGCATCTGCTCCAGGCACCAAGTTAGGAGGAGGACAAGAATCACTCCTATGTCCATGGAGTCTGTGCCGTGGAAGCAAGAGCAGCCTCCTGGCTTACCCATGCTGGGAACTCCAAAACAGTCTCTAGCTGCTGCTGCTTTAAGAACAACAGTCGGGGTGGGCAGAGCATAAGGCCACGGCAGTAGCAGCAGCAGCTCGGCCAGAGACTCTAGGACAGGAGTGGGCAAAATCTGGCCTGCAGGCCAGACTGGGCTTGTGACAGACTCCGTTTCCCAGTAGTCCCTACTTGCACACCACTCAAGCTGGTCTCTACGGAGACCCCAGGAGCGACAGGGCCGTGACAGCATGAGGCTGACACAACCTTGCGCTCCCAGGGTCTTCATAGAGACCTGCTCAGAGTGGTGCTGGTAGGGCACGTGGGTGGGCAGGCAGCTGCTCTAGGGCTGGGACTGGGGCCCGGGTGGGAATCTTGCAGCCGTGGTGGCATGGGCTGAAGCTGGGCAGAGCTGTGATCCGCTGCCGATGCACCCTTGCAGCGAGTGCAGGTTCCACAGCAGGAGCGTGTGGGCAGTGGATCATGGCCCTGTCCTGTCTCTGGCCCACACTGTCACGGCTGCAAGATCCCAGCCCCAGTTCCGATCCCGGAGCAGCTCCCTACCCAGCCATGTGCCTGCCAGTGCGACTCTGGGCTGGTCTCCATGGAGATCCTAGGAGCGTGGGACTGTGACAGCCCTGTGCTGGGACAACCCCGCCGCTCCTGGGGTCTCCATGGAGATTGGCTGGAGCAGCGTGGGTAGGGGCTGCTTGGAAATGGAGTCCGGCCACTGGTCAGATCTGCCATTTTGCTCACCCCTGCTTTAGGAATTCCTAGCAGGGAAAGACTGCTGCCCTACCCCACCACTCTGCCCTTAGTGTTTGCCCAGGGTGCCAGCTCTTCTTGTTACACTGCTGTGAAACAGGACAGGTAAGTCTTATCCAGCTTTTATGCATTCAGTATGAGCTGAAACTTTTAAGTCTTGTCCTTTAATTGTAAGTGATTTTCTGTTTTTGGGTATTAAAGTATCAGACTCGGAGGGATGGCTTACTGCAAGATTTGTTTTTGGGAGGGTGAGGTGGTGGTGAATATGGAAGGGAATGATTAGCAAGTCTTTTGGAACAATTATCTGCAATCTGAACGTGCAAACTTTAATTCTTTGGGGAAAATATGAATGTATTTACTTAATCGAGTAAACTGTGAACACTCCTCAAACAGCCAGACACTCAAGATTTACATGCTATTTTTAATTCCCTCAGCAGTGCTAGTCCAGCTTTTACTCATGGTCCTGGGAGAACTCCCAGTTTGCGTGCTGGTAGGCTTCTATCTGCATTAAACCAAACCAGCTTCAGGTTCTCTAGAAGAATGCTCTGCCGGGACTCTCTTCCTATTTACATTTGGGAGCCGGCAGTGAAGTCACCTCTGCTGCCAGGTTCTCTCTCCAAAAGTTAATTTTCATTGTAACTATAACATATTTTAACTAGCACATTTTAAAACTCTAGTGTTGACTGGCAAAGATGAACCCTAGGGAAGAGGTTTCGAGGCTCTTACAAACAGTGAGCATACTTGCCCAATCAAAGGAAACAAAATAACCTTTCGTGTTTTTTTTCCCCCAGTTTCTTCACCTAGTCCACTAACATTACACTAGTCTTGTCTGGAATGAATCTGAGCCAGATAGCCCTTATCCAAGCCACGATTCATATTTCCACTGGGCAACGACGAGACTCCAAAATTGAGCAGTTTGTCTTCTAAAGAAACTGTAATCCAGATACTTTCCAAATGTCTCAAATACACTTCTTAATTCATAAGTATCTTTAATAGCGAGATGCACAAACATTATGTGATTGGTATGCATTTTCTGGAATTTAGGAGCAGTCACTGGTTCAAAGTGCCCTCTTGTAGGGGCTATTAAAAACACCTGTGAAATAAGACTTCCATCCTAACTACCCAACTTTAACAGTCACTTAAGCTGAGCATCACAATAAATCTCCCTATGTTTGTGCAGTTATCAAATGTCTATGCAAACCTCAGGCCAGACCTTTCCTTTCTTCTTTAAAGTATTATCTGCTTTCATCTCAGAGTGCAAGTACAAATCCAAAAGGCCATCAAGTCAGATACATTGTACTAAGGTTCAGACTGACTTTGGGGAGTTCCCAAATCTCGTTCATTATGCCATAACGTAAGGGCTTGGACAGACCTTCAGTTTTTTCCAGGGAGAGTCCTGTATGAGTGTACAGAAGTTCATAATTTTTTTCCCAAAGTAAAAGTGATCACTCTGGGAGAAAAATAACTGAGAAATGACCCAAGTGAAGTGGCTCCCCAGAGAATGTATCCCAGGAGACAGAACTTGTGTACAGGCAGCCAGTGTGCTTCACTGCTTTTTTTCTCCCTCTCCTACAGGAGAAGGGAGAGCATGTATCAGTCCCAGACAAGCAGGGAGCAGAACACACTGTCTAAATGCTTTGGGCTGGAAAAGGCTGGTGCTGAAGCACTTAGGGCATGTCTTCCTACTGGCTTGTTCCCTGCCTGAATCATACTGCAGCACTTAGGTGCTGGGAAGCATTCAAGCATGCTCCCTGCCCAGGTGCAGCTGGGCTGGACCACAGCAAGCTGCTAGAAGACAGCATGGGGTTGGGGGAGAGGAAAGCTGGAAGACACTGTGTCCAGCACAGACCCAGCTCCCACCTCTGACCCTGACACCCCTGTTTATATTCATTAAAAAAAACAACCCAAAACCTACAGAGGTCTTTGGGCCGCTGCTCTTTGGGCAACCAGCATCCACACTGCAGGCTCCTTGCTTCTTTGCTTGAACTTAAAAACAAACCTGGGGGAGTGGTCCTGGATGATGTGAATGTGTGTATGCAGCCTGAGTTTGTTGATCATTGATAACTTCTCTGAATAGCTGATTTTCAGAAAAGATTTGCATTGGTGGTTAGGTCTTAGGAATTAGTCGTCATATATAGGTATGGTGGCCATCATAGAATACAGTCCGGTTATTCTCCGTCCTCTATTGATACGAACCCGGATGTCTTTTGTGTCCTCTTTTTTTTCCTTGAAGATTGAAGAGAAAAATAGAGGACATAAAGGCATTGGGTTTCATATTGATAGAGGACAGAGTAGCAGAAAACTGGAATGTCCTCTATGATGGTCACCCTACATATAGGTATAGTTGTATGTTGAACAAATAAAACAGCACGGTTTTCTCTTTGCAGGGGAAGAAGAGCCTCCTGTAATCACTATCACAAAATCTCTAGTGCCTGGAATTTGTAAAGCAGAACTTCATTGCCACATCCATACTGATGAACTGCAGGCAATTGCACCTTTATAACTTGTTACAAGAACGGTATGCAGCGCCACTTTATCAACAGCCTGTGTTTGTGCATCAGCCACCGCATTATCCAAGCACTAAATCTACTTGAAGAAACAAATATTCCCTGAAGGAGATCTGCCATTCTTAAGGGAATTTGTGGCCAGTAGACTTTTACCTGTTGGTCCCTTTTATGATCTGAAAATACAACATTGAGATAATTTAAAGTATATTTTGAAATTCCAGCTATTACCAGCTTAAATCTCACAGAAATGATACTGTTTATAAAGATAATTATAAAAAATATTTTTTGTATTTTTTTTAAATTTCTGATTGAAAATAAAATAACTGGTTGCATGTGGCATGGAATGTTAACCACCTTACATTTTGTAGGAGAACCTCTGGTTTAAAATGCTGAAATATTTGATGGCAGGAATGTGTTAGAGAATGAGCAGGAAGATTTTTGTACAAAAAGTCATAAAATGCCAAAAGTGGATCTAGTGATTCTCCATTACAGAAATATTCCTGGTTGTCCTTAGCGAAATTTTACCTCTTCTTCCACCTCCTTTGGCTCTCCAGAAAGTTAATCTATTACAGTCAAAAGTAAAATCGTTTTCCCCCATCTAAATTTTGACATGGATGCAAGGGGAACATGTTCATTGACTCTCAGTTTTGCCAGGTCAGTCCAAGTGTGGTACAGTGGAAGTATACAGAACAAATATATTTGTTGGATTTTCTGATATTTTTGTCAAAGTGAACTGTTACTTAGAAACCTTTGCCTTCAGGTTTAATTAATTCTTTTTAAAGTTTTTGGTTCTTTCTGATTTTAAGATGAAATTTCTTTTGCACAGGTGTGTTTCCAATTTGAGCTTACTGTATTATCAGGGCTATGTTTCTAACTACTCTATTTAAGAATGCTGCAGCCGGTGAGGGGTGAATACTACAATGGATGCAGTAGGTAAAGCTGTTTTGCTAGCCTCTCCATAGCTAGGGTAATATATTTGGATTTCTTAGATGCCATTATCCATAAGCTTTTATGATCTATCTCAAACGAGACCATTGTAACTCAGAAATGTCATTTATATAGCAGACACAAATAATACATTTCCACACCCTGACTGAAATATGCAGTGGAAATGCAGTTTTCTGCCTTCCTGGAAGGATTGATAAGAGGAAAGATATAAACATTGATCAGAGGAAAGGGACATCAAATCTTATTCCGTGTCTAGTGCCAGCCCTGGGAGGAATGTGCCAGTTGATGGATATAAAGTTACTTCATCAAACAGTACTGCTTCCCTTTCATCTGGGTAAAGCAAATTGCAGTATGTAGTTACCAGGAGTGACTGGCTAACTGTACTCAACTGCCACTTGACAAATGCAAACAGGTTATTTTGGAGTTCCTAGTACTAAAAATTTCCAAGTAAATAGTATCAGTATCCATTTAAAACCAATATCATATTAAATAGAATTCCAGTTATGAATGGATCTAGTCCTATTAATCTAAAGAAAGTAGCATGTTGGGTCTTTCTGTTGCAATGATGATTTAGTTGGGTCTTTAGCCAAGAAATCCTCACTGCTTCTAGAAAGTAATTTAATAAGAGAAATCAAATTGTATAGTCACAGATCTAGGCATTGTTATAATATAAACAGTAAATAATAGTAAAGGATTACCTGTTCAGATTTGTTTCCTTAATTTATTAACTCGATGTCAAATTCTGACGAAATTGCACCCTGGACAGTGCTGTTGACATGGGATTGTTATAGTTGTAAATCAGGGTATGATCAGTTTGTCAAACGCTAACTCTCTTTCTATATTAATGTATTAGTTTAGCAATTACAGTTGTCAAATTAAATAGTTAATGTTAGTGCCTTAGTCTAATGAATAACTGATGCCATTAAATACAACAGCAATGACATTCCTTAGAATTTTTTCTGGAAATGGAACTTTGTCTCTGTACAGGTTCACTCTGATCTTTACTGTTGGGATTTCATTATGGCTGGGAATCAGTAACGTCTTCACATGCAAAGAGAAATGTCCTTTACAACTTTTGTGCATAAAACTTTATAACACATTTAAGTACAATGAACATTGGCAGAACCCAACACACTTTAACTTTGGTATGATACAGAACTATAGCATATTGAGAGAGAGATGCATAAGCCTGTATTTATTTACCTTGATCTTCGTGGGCTGTTGTTCACTGTCACTTTTCAGGAAGTGAATACTTTAACTAGCAAGGCTAAAATGACAGTGATCTTGTGTATTTAAATAGAGCATGAACTTGCCAAAAGCCAGAAAGAGACAACTGCACATGATTTTACATCTCATGCCATGAGCTGTTCTGAAAACAAGATTTTTAAAGTTGTACCAACCTTTGGAAGCTTAAAAATACATAGAACAAATTAGGATGGGTAATGTAAGAATAAATCCTTGCTCAGCCAGTTCAGTTGTGGAGGAACCTGACTTGGTGTGATTTGTGTATTTGCATTTGGCCATTCCCAAGCCCCAGCACAAAGAGGAATGAGAAGGAAGGGTGAGACAAAGGAAAAAGCAGTGATGATGGATCCGTCACTGCACAGCTGTACTATTCTCTTCTGTATGTACTGCCTGCCTCAAGCTTGCTGTTGTAGCTGAGGAAGAGCTTCTTTGCTATTCTGTAAAATGAGGAATTTGGCTTTTCCCACTAGAAATCTCCAGCTCACAGCTTGTTTTGGGCTAGGATAAAGATCTGAACTCCATTAGAAACTATAGCAAAACTCCCAGGGTTTCACTGAGCTTTTAACAAGCAGAGTTATTTTAAAGTTTGACTGATAAATCCTGTGGAAACTAATATTTGTATTTTCTTATGAATTTGCTGTACAATCCTTCAAATCATAACCATCTCTTAAAGCAGTATCCAGTCTATGGAACTACTCCAACCAAATTTATTTCAGTCAAATATGTTTTTCCTGTCTGAGTAGAAGGTGGAAGGCTCATTTGGATGCCTTTGGCATGGGGTGGGAAGAGGACAGAGGGGAACTGTTTTGGTCATACTATACAGATGGTAGAAAAACAGGCGTACCTTCTTGGAGTTTGGTTTTTAGTACAGGGAGTTACAAGATGGGAAAATATTTTTTTTCTTTGTAGTGAATTTTTAAAAAGTTGACCACTCTGAAGAATATTGTGTATGTTTTAGGGAGGCAGAGAATTTTTCATGTATTTGTAAGAATTCTGTTTTCCCCCTAAGAGATCACCAACAAAATGTTTTGTAAAAATATTAAGAAACCAAATATGTTAATATTTTAGACATTAGCTTACTACTTTTTTCATGTGTTTAGTAAAATCTAAGCAGAATGTAAATGGTAAAAGAATTCCTCTTGTTTCTGCTTGATTCTACAAGTAAGTGGTAATGCAGTAACTTGGATATGTTGATAACATGTTTTTCGGAAGGGTGAAAAAGTAGTTGAAAGGTAAAAATGCAAGACGTAGCTGCATGTTCGACATATACATTGAAAAATATAGCTGTTACCATATTTTGTACATGTATATGAACTGTTGATAATAGACAGCAGCTGATATTTGCAGAAATTTACTTGTTATGGTACCATAATCTAGAAGTTAAACAGCAAAATAAAGTGTCAAAAGATTTTGTCTTGTTCTTTTAATTTAAAAAATATGTATTTTTCTGGGGCATTCCTTTTGGTGATTTTTTTTAGGTGTTTTTCAGTTGTGCCATTTCCTTGTGCTTCTCAGCAGAATATGAAATGTGGTATTTTTATTTAATAGGCCATGTATAATTAAACAAAGCACACACAAACTGTGTCTAACTGTTCATATGTCACATTTAAGAGATTAAATTGTATAATGAGGGACTTTTGAGATAATCGAGCAACTGTAAGAAACTAGTTGTTCGCAAGTTTTATTTCGGAAGATGAATTCAAGCAATTTAAATTATTCTACACAAATGTGCCATCATAATTCGTTCTGTAGGTACTCCCAGAAGATCCCTCGCAATATGTTATTGCTGCATGTCAAATGAAGTCTAATCACATCAGCTAAAAATAATGTAATAATTTGGATTAGATTGCCTCGTTTCACAGGAAGCGAAAATATATTGATTTTTATATAGTTTTTTTTGTCAGCCAAATTGATCGTCTGTTCTAGTAAGTGTTTTTGGAATAGATTCAGGCATAGCATGGCATTGTCAACACTGGATAATAGTATAAGAACATGTAAAGAATGTATTAAGAATGACTTGTCTATTTAGAAAATTGGACTATTTGTAATTGTATTGGTATAAGCCCAAGCAATCTTTGGGTGTATCCAGATGAGCATGCACATGTTTTCCTGGGGACAAACAGCAGTGGCCCATAGTTGTGCCACTGCTACTTGTCCCTGGGAAATGCCCCTGCACGTATGCTCTGGCAGGTGCAGTTTGCTCCAGGTGGGTTAGGGAAAACTGGGGCCAGAACCTGAGCTGGCCACAGCCTTAGCTGGGGTTCTGGGGGTCTCCTGGGGCTGTAGCAGTGCTAATCCAGGCACACAGAGCCTGGCCGGTAGCCAAAGCATGACTCTGGCTGGCCAGGCTCTAGTTTCAGGCAGCTCACACTGCAGCCACATGTGCCACCCTGCTTTTTTTTGCTGTGTTTTTTTCTTTTTTTAGATACCAGGAGTTCCTAGTATCTAATTTTGTCTCTGAGCTGCAAATATGAAGCACGGAGAACCCTTTCATGCATGCTGTGTGCATTTTGCAGCGCCTCAAAAGCCTTTGAGGCGCTGCAAAACACACATGCCACTCATCTGAACATGCCCCTTGTGTTCAAACAAGCCATACTGAATCGGTTTGTTTTGCATTTACAGTGGTGATCTCTTAAATCTTTTCAGTTACAGTGTCTTTTGACCTTCTAACAATTCTTGACTCTCTTCCGAATAGCGGTAGATTCTGGGAGATTTTGTAAAGCCACTAGTGCACTGTGAAATAGGAATAGCGGGACCAATTGAGCCATTTCAGCTTGTCTACAGCCACAGTGGCACTAAACAAGTTCAAGCTGAACTGGTCTGAAAAGGTAAACTTGCAGAAAGAGAGAGCATTTTCTGACTGCTTAATGGATTACAGTTGAAGCATGTGAAGATAAAACATTCCAAGGATTTTACTGGTTTAATTTCTCAAGTGTAACCCAGACCAGTATGTCATCTGCAAGACTTCAGCAGCACACAAATATTCAAGACAGAAGCTGGAGGGAGTTCATTACCCAAGTGAAACTACAAGTCTTGAAGATGGTTTTAAAAACATTATTTTAGTTCTTAAAGCATGATTTTATCACTCCAACCACAAGCACTTTTCTTAGCAGTACATGCTGGCTTCCATATGGTGCACATATGCCCATACACAAACACACATTTGGGTTTTCTTGATTATACACCCAGGAGTTAAAGGCAACACCACATATCAGTAAAAGGGCAAATTTTCCCTTGATTTGCCATAAATTATTTCATTTTATCTGTAGGAAAACCTCATTATCACAAACTATTTATAAACCCAGACGAGACCGGGTAACAAATGGTCCCTTACAGCTACTGCCATACATTGAAAAGATAAATTAAGTTAGATCTCAGCTGATAGACTGTAACTTAAATTCAGCATGCCTTTTTCTGTCTTAGTAGTGAGGCCATTCATTTGCAGTTTTATGTCATTATCTCTCTAAAATGTAACAAAAGTTGCTAGCAGGGAAATAAAGAATTCATACAAAAATCTGCAAGGCAATGAAAAGTTTAGTATAGCCCAATTTTAATAATATACATATTGCATACTTATGGACATAAATAGCTGAGGGAATAATAGACTATTATTTAGATCATTACATCTGAAGATCAAATGCTCCATTCTAATGTATAAGGTGTTATCTCCTAATTTTCATGTTGCTATAATAAACAGTGCTCATGTGACAGAAACCAGGTTGCTTCTTCAGGCCTTTCTGCTAGGCACACAAGCCTTGATTATAAGTGGCAGTTTGAATTTGAGAGGGTTCATGTGCGTGGAACGTGGTCCTGTTGGGTTACTGCTTTAAATGGAATTTTAAGTATTTAGTAACTGCTGGTGTACAAAAAAGATCTCTTTGGAAAATGAGAAGGTCATGTTGATTGTATGAAGCAGGTAAATTTATTACATAATAGTCTGAAGATTTGGTATATTTTCCCCACAGGGAAAGCACATACCTGTGGTATTTGGCGATACTCTAAAGTGTTATAACAGATGTACTCTGCATTTTCTATACATGATTGTAAATCACAGTTAAAGTGTTCACATAACTTACTGTCACTTTTCAGTAATAACCCACAAAGTGGATGATGGAATATTACTGGATCAAAAACATTTGAGTAGTGATATCACAACAGCTGGAACACAGGATCACACAAAGGGATTGGAAGACTAATACAGTATTGACTGTGCCTGTCTCCACTCCACGATTCGATCCCGTGCTGCCTTTGCCCAGGCAGCTGGTCTTGCTCACCAAGGAACCTTGTGTAGACCCCGGAGGGTTCCTCAATTACCTTCGGGGTATCCCCCAAACGTGCCTGCCACGACTTCGGATGGTCCTTCAGTGAAGGGGGTCCCCTCTGAGGATACCTCCAGAGTTGTCGTGTCCTGGCAGATGTTCACAGGGCTCCAACATTCCCTATACCCCGGCCACACACCAACCTATGAGATGAGCCTCAGGATCTTTTGTGGCTAGCCCCTGTTGATGTCTTCCTTGGTTCCCATGTGTCCTGTCTTGCGGACCGGTGCCTCGGGCTCTGGCCAGACTCACAGGGTCTGGTGACACTCTGTCGTCGGAGTTGTCCCTCTTGATGCCCTGCGCATTCTACGACGGATGCTGTTGGTCATCGCCACATTCTTACATGGTGTGCTAGGCTAACCTGCTCTAGGCAGGGAACTAAAATAGATCAAACTAAGAAAGACAAACATAGAACGCTCACCACCGGAAAACCCCACACCACGGGAACACCCCAACATGAAAGAAAAAGGAATAAAGACAAGACTACAGAGGGAATGAGACAAAAAGAAGAAAAAAAGAGAAGAGGAGCAACCACGGGGGGAGTCCTGTGCCCCCTTCACCCCTAATGCCCCTAGACTAATGTGTCCCCCGGTCAGGACCCGTGTCTTCACCCCACCCGGGGTTTCTCTTATCCCCTCTGGGATCTGCCTCTGCCCTGGGGTCGCGGCACCTGCCACCTCTAGGAGGAGCTCCCTTGCCAGCTCTTGCCATCACCATTGCCAGCCTCCCTGCCGGCTCCTTTGATCCCCACCGGTCTTCCCCGGTGCCGGGATCTCCTGTGGCTCCCGCCGCT